AAAAAACAAACAAAAAAACCAACAAAAAAAAATTCAAAAACATTCAAACTGAATAAGAATCAAAGAAAAGAAGAAGAAATGCCAGTACTCACTTATCTAGAGGGTGTGGGAAACTTAGCACTCTCATACACAGGTCATCCTTGTTCAAATGACTATGACATTTCATGGTGCAATCTCTCAGTGTACATCAAAAACCTTAAAATATGTACTCTTTGACTAGCAGTTCTACTCCCAGGAATTCATTCTTAGGAAATAATCCAGAGGAACTAACAGTGTACCACAATTTATATTGCAGTCTTAATTGTAATAGGAAAAAATTGGAAATAATGTAAATAGAGAAGATTGATTAAATAAATGTTAGGACACCATACAATAGAATACTATAAAACTATCAAAAATGGTACTGGAATATTTTATTGACATGAAAATATCTCTACAACATATTGCCAAATTATAAAAGTTACAAGACAGCCTGTGTCCAATGAGCGCAGATACACAAATATGAGAGGCAGTATTCTACAGTGGGTCAAGGCCAAGGCTTCAGCGTCAGACAGACATGCAATCAAAGCTCTGAGGTCAGATGCTTACTAGCTGTGGAAACTTGGGCACATAATGTAACTCTCCTAAGCCTTACTTTCTCATCTGTAAATTCAGGATAATAACAGTATCTACCCCTAGGGATGTTGTAAAAATTAAATGAAATAAGCAAAGTTATCAGTAATGACAAAGAAAATTTTCTGAAAAATTACTAAAATTTTCATAATAGTTGCCTTTGGATGATGGGTTTTGGTGTGATTTATGCCTTATTTTATACTTTTCTGTACTTAATTTAAAAATATATATGGGGCCGGCCCTGTGGCTTAGCGGTTGGGTGCGCGCGCTCTGCTGCTGGCGGCCCGGGTTCGGATCCCGGGCGCTCACCGACGCACCGCTCCTCTGGCCATGCTGATGCCGCATCCCACATACAGCAACTAGATGGATGTGAAACTATGATGTACAATTATCTACTGGGGCTTTGGGAGAAAATAAATAAATAAATAAAAATTATAAAAAATAAAAAAAAAAAAAAAAAAAAAAAAATATATATGAACATTAGATTTTTACTCAAAGAAACAACAAAATGATTTTTTGAATTACATGCAAAGAAAAAGGACTAAAATACATCTGTATTATTTGAAATTTTATAGTGAGAATGCATTTACCTATTACTTATGGAACTTTAAAAAACAGACTGCCAGGATATAGACTAAAATATCAAAAGCAATTAATCTCTGGATGATAGAATTCTAAATTACTTATTTCCTTTGGTATAATTTTTCTCTATTTTCTAAGCTCACAACAATGCACAGATAGTACTTATATAATAAAAAAAATTATTGGGGCTGGCCTGGTGGTATAGTGGTTAAGTTCGTGTGCTCCGCTACGGCGGCCTGGGGTTTGCAGTTTCAGATCTCAGATGCAGACCTACGCACCACTCATCAAGCGAGGCTGAGGCGGTGTCCCATATACAAGATAGAGAAAGGTAGGCACAGATGTTAGCTCAGGGCTAATTTTCCTCAGCAAAAAGAGGAAGATTGGCAATGGATGTTAGCTCAGAGCTGATCTTCCTCACAAAAAAAAAAAAAAATTATTAAAAAAAATCATGATATACGGGCTGGCCCAGTGGCATAGTGGTTAAGCTCGTGTGCTCCGCTTTGGTGGCCCAGAATTCAGAGGTTTGGATCCCAGGCAAGGACTGGGATCGCTCATCAGGCCATGCTGTGATAGGGTCCCATATACAAAGTAGAGGAAGATTGGCACAGATATTAGCTCAGGGACAATCTTCCTCAAACAAAAAGAGGAAGATTGGCAACAGATGTTAGCTCAGGGCTGATCTTCCTCACCAAAAAAAATAATAATGAAAAATAAAAAAATCATGATCTAGATCATTTATTGACTGGAGTAGTTCCAAAAATAGATTACTATGTGAAAAAAAAGCTACAGAACAGAATATAAATGTTATGATGATTTTTGTTTTAAAATATACATATATATAGTAAGAAACAGTGAAAGCGCATACATCAAAATGTTAACAGTGCTTATCATTGAATTATGGCTAATTTTTGTTTTATGTTGTGTTTTTTCAAATATTCTTCATTAGTCATTTGTGAATTTTATAATGGGATAGAAAATAAATATTAGGGGCTGGCCTGGTGTTGTAGCAGTTAAGTTGGCGTGTTCCACTTTGGTGACCCAGGGTACGCTGGTTGGGATCCTGGGCACCGACCTACTCACCGCTCATCAAGCCATGCTGTGGCAGCATCCCACATAGAAGAGCTACAACTCTACAATTATGACATACAACTGTGTGCTGGGGCTTCGGGGAGAAAAAAAAGAAAAGAAAAAGAGGAAGATTGGCAACAGATGTTAGCTCAGGGCCAACCTTCCTAAAAAAAATAATAATAAATAGAAAAAGAAAATAAATATTAAATAAATAAGAAAAGTTAGAAGTACATAAATGATAAAATAAGGGATTATTTGGGGCAGAACACATAGGCCTTCCTATTAGAATATCAGATAACATGCTAGAATAACAATGTGGCTCCTATAACTGGAACATAGAAAGGAGTAAAAACAAACAAACAAACAAACACCTCTCTCTAAATGTATGCAGAAAAATTTAAATGGTGACATTCTGACACCCACAGGCTAGGGTAAGTTTAGCAGTTGTGCAGGCTACCTGCTCTCCCAGAGATTTGCCTCTAAACACCACTGTGAGTTTACAATATTGGCATCTGTCTTCCCCAGGTCATTCACAGGTCTTCATTCCTGTAGATTAAACACCTTTCCAGGGTCCTAGATTCGTGCCATTGCTCTTGGTAATTTCAGTTTCTCACTCCTAAATTAAGGAAGGCCAGCTCTGTCCAAAAAGATAGCCTTTATTTTACAGAAGATATACGCCTCATATTTGGCTTTGCATTTCTTCAAATTCTAGGCTTATGCTGATAAGACTGTTCTAGTCCCAGAAGCGAAGCCAGATTCTGCTCCCACCGTGAGGCATGGAGCCACACCAACGTGCAACTAAGAGTCTTTGTAGTCTCCGCTTTTTCTGCTACCAGAAATAGTTCTCCATCTCTTCCTACTGGTACTCACTAGCTGAATCTTTGAGAAAGATCCACTCTCAGCAAGAATCCTGCCCATGAAATCACGCCTCCTAAATCCTAGCCCCCTTTGTAATCACACCAGATGCTAGTCATGTAGTTAGGTAGAAACAGCCTGACCAGGATCCTAAATCATGCATGTGGCTGCACAAGTTTCTCACCGGACGTATGCACAAAGGACACTCCACTCTTTATTATCAGCTCATGCTGGCCCCAAATCCTAGCAAGTCTCTTGCTGAGCAGCCGGGCTGGACAATGTGGACTCCAAAGATACTTCTGCCCTAAGAATGCCCCAGACACTAATTACAAGGCAGAGAAGAGGTGAAAAGAGCATTACAAGAGCTAACCAAAGCCAAGAGTCCCCAGAGATAACTGACGGGGAAAATATTCTCTCAGCCCATTTCCATTTATAACGACCTCATTCCTCCAGCAGAATCTCCCACAGAATCATTGTTTCTATAAAATCTCCACAAATCTTCACTTTGTTCTAGGAACTCACTTCCAAGTTCCTTTTTCTTTGGAATGAAGGACGGAAACCTTGAGCTCCCCCTGGAGGTAGGAGTGTGCTAGTTAAAAGTCTCCTTGGACTGTGGCTCTTGACTCATCCCAACTAGTTCATCGTAGCAGCAACCTCAGTTAACTTGGTTGCTGACTTTTGCCCATTTCCAGTCAGCGTTTAGGTGACCTGTCTACAACCTCCATGACAGCTGACTGGAGCTTCTACCCTCTTTGTATTTTAGCTACTCCAGCCTTGCTAATAGGAAGGGTCCCATGCCCAGCTGCATCAACAGCACAGCCTATCTTTCCCAGGCTTTCCTTCTTTTGTCTCCTCTAATACAAACACTTTGTTAGTCGTATGATTCTACTTGACATCTCTCCAACATGTTCCCTTCCTCTGTATCCTTATTATTACTCTTCATATTACCTAGAAATCTCTTCCTACCCTCTGTCCTTATCTCCTCATGAAAATCTTTTCCATTCCTTAAAAGCCCAAGTCCCAGGCCTGCTTCCCCACACTTACCTCTGAAATCCTGTAAAACTTATTTACAAAGCACTTGTGTATACCGTCTTGTGTTTAATTAACTCTACATAGCTTATCTTACTGTATCCAACCAAATGCCCGGCTTGGTGTCAAAGTCTAGCGTGTAGAAAATAATCATTAGATAAATGTTGAATTAAGTTGTTGAAGGATGAGTTCAAACATCCCATTTTCAAAGAATAGAGATAACTGCACTGTTAACAAAGAACAAAAGAAGGGATAAGAGAGAAAGAGAGAAAAGTGAGGAAGATAAATGTCATGAGAATCTCAGCATGTTGTAGAAAGAGCACTGGACTAAAGATCAGGAACCTAGGCTTAAGTCCCACTTGGCTGTTGATGAACGAAATAGCCACACTAAACTATTCCCTAAAGAACCAAAGCAGTGAGTTATACGAACTCTGAAGTTTATTGCCATGCTGAAATTGTATGACCATCTCCCCATTTAGGCACACTGAGAGCTGATTAAACAAGATAGCATTCAGATTCACCTACCACAGAGCCTAGCATAATGTGTGTGATAATAAATGTTAGTTCCTCTTTTCTTCACACGTAATGGAAACATTCTGCAATGTTCTCACTTTTAAGAAAGGGAAAAGTTTGCCTTTATCCATAGACGCCTACAGGGATATTTGCCTGATAATACGGTAATAGAGAACTGTACAACTTGTTTTAATCACAAATATTGCAGAAACATTTGTTTTCCCCTCTGGATGTGTACTTTATGGAAGAACTTTTCGGTGGTTGGGTCTCTCATTAGGCTGAAAATATTTTCTTATCATTTTTTCCTCTAGCTCTTGCCATATGCCATTTCAGGTAGAAGCTTCCATTCCAGCAAATAAAGGGAAACTGAAAAAGAGCTATGCCAAACCAAATTCTTAGTCAACCACATCATGGACTGAGAAGATGTGAAAATCATGTGACAAAGATTCTAAATGGTAAGCAAGAAAGGAGAAGGGTAACACTTGGAAGCCAATAAAAAATGGGAATGAATTTAAATAAAGTATGCCAGGAAAATAAACAGATTCCAGGGAATTAAACTAAGTTTCTGGAACCTAGGACAGTTGCAGATGTTCAGATTAATACATGTAGGAACAACTCATTTATCAAGGATTTTAGAGAAATGAAGACTTCTGTTTATGGGACGTTTCGAGTTCACTAAAGTTTAGTTCTTTGTATTTCTAAAAAGTGGATTTAATTTCAATATTTTATTGTACTGTTTTCCTGACTTACTTAAGAGAATTCCAAACTACCCACAGCCCTGCAAATATGTGGTGCTCTTTCACTCCTCTGTGCCTTTGTGGGTGCTGTTCCCTCCTCTTAAGAGTTCTCCCTCCTCCCCCATCCTTCAAAATCTATTTTAAATCTCTGTGAAGGTATCCTGGACTCCAGTCTGTGAAGTAAGTTGCTCCTACTGTTATCCAACAGTCTTAACTCATAACTCTATTATTTTCATAATCACTGGGGTCCTAGCTGGGTGAATGCCAGGTGCACCCAATTTGGGATCAGCATGGGAAGTGAGGGGGAAATTGATTAGGACAGCAGTGCTCAATTATGTGTGGGAAGTTAGGGGCCTTTATTGAGCATCTAATACTATTAACTGTTACAAAAAGAAGCTTTGTGAAACGTTTTCTTCTGATGCTGTTATGATTATATTCTGAGAGGCTCTTAATAGAAGCCAAATTGTGTGGGAAAAAATCTAGAGGAGGAGGGTGCTGAAATAGGAGGGTGAAGATAAAGAATTCTTAGTCTCAGAAGACTTTGAAAAGAACCAAGGTCTAAGTTTACCCACTCCCACGTCTTCACTTAGTTATCCTCCTGCAGTTCTTCAGATTTTGGCTTCCTCAGGAAAGTGACTCATGGTCTTTCTGATAAGAACAATCATAGCATCTTATACCTGTCATTTACAGCATTTTCCATAGTTTTATATCTATCTGTATATATGATTCTTTGATTGATGTCTGTTTCCACCACTAGGCTCTGAGAGTAGGAACTCTTATTTGGTTTTGCTCACCACTGTACCCTAGTTTCTAGTGTAGAGCCTGGCATATGACTGGATTTCAATATTTGTAGAATAAACAAATATTGTCGCATGAAAGGCAATAGGGTAAAAGGAGTTGGAACAGATTTAAAGACTGCTTAAAGTAACTTAGCAGTATTGCTAATGATCAACGACAGAGTCATACAGGTATGAGGACTTGGTGAGAGGGTGTGAGAAGATTTTTTCCTCCTGACACCACATACGTGATGTCTTTTCCAACACCACTTCCCCACTCTCTGACACCAACTGGGTGTCCAACAATTCAATTCAACCCTAACACTATCTACCTGGAGTTAGCATCAGATCCCACAAGTTAAAGGGCTTACTGTCAAAAGACTGCCCCCACTTTCAGACGCCAATTGCAAGTCCCAGGCCACTCGTGCTTCTGACCCACTGGATATAAACCAAAGATTACCATGACCCCTCCTCAGGCTTGATATTTTGTTAAAATGGCCCACAGAACTTAGGAAGGCACTTTACTTACATTTACTGGTTTATTATAAAGGACACAAGTGAACAGCCAGTTGAAGAAGTACATACTACAAGGTCCAGAAGGGTCCCAAGTGCTGAAGCTTCTGTCTCCGTGGAGTTGGGATGTGCCAACCTCCCTGCACCTCCATGTATTCACTACCCTGGAAGTTCTCTGGACCCCATCCTTTAGGGGTTTTTCTGGAGGTTTCATTATGTAGGCATGATTGATTAATCATTGGCCATTGGTGATTAAATTCAATCTCCAGCCCCTTTCCGCTCCCAGAAGTACCAAGCTTCTAATCAAGGCTTGGTCTTCCTGAAGCTATCTAGAGGTTTGCCAAGAGTAGCCTCATAAAAAGATGGTCCTATCATCCTTATCACTCAGGAAATTCCAAGAGTTTTAGGAGCTCTGTGCCAGGAACTGGAGACAAAAAACAAATATCTTTCTATGATACCACAGGGTTGGAATGAATTTAAGGGTGTATCCAGCTAATAAATAGTTTGTAATGATGATGCCAACAGTGTTGTTAACCAAGGTTTCAAAGGTAATATAAGTCATTAGGTTACACCTGCATTTCATCACAATTTATTTCCCACTAACTTCTTAAATAGGCAAATTAATGACATTAGCATGTCTTCACTGAATAATTACAGCACTCCCCTCCCCACTTCATCTAGCCCCAATACCATCTTACTCTGAGTCATTTATTTGATAATTAGATGTTACAGACACTCATGAGAATGTGCAGCTGAATTAAATACTCTGGCACTGAGATAGCTTTTCTAGGAAGAGAGAGGTGGATGTCTTTTAACAATCTTAGGCCCCACACAAGACTTATGAGTTTAGATCTGAACTTTCTTTACTTCTCCTCTTCTCCAACACTTAACCTATCAAAAAACACTTTCCAGTACAGACTATAAATAAGTTGATAATTTAAGGGAATAAGTCAGACCTTGTCCATCTATACACTGCTGCTCAAAATTGTTGCTGACAGAGTAACAGAAACCAAATCATATACAATCTAAAGATTGAGACATTCATTCATTCATTCCCTCAAGTATTTGTTGAATGCCTTCTGTACTCCTGACTCTAGGCACATAGGAGACTCTACGATAAAATGAAAAGAGGAGAACTATAGGATATGAAGTGAGCCCAACATACAGCCTGCTCTCAAGAAGCTCCCAATCTTGTGAGAACAAATGATTATAGAACAAATGATAGAATAAAATCTATAATTAAATAAGAAGATAAAAAATGCATTCTACCAAAGTATGGGAAAAAAGCAACCAAATCAGATTGGGAGATTAGGAAAGACTTCCCAGCAAGCTAAATTTTGAATGATGAGCTAAATAAAAAGGGTAAGGTAGGAAGGAGAGGATATTTTAAGCAAAAGGAAACATATATATGAAAGAGTTCACAACTTAATCAGTAAACTATAAGCAATTCACTACAAGTCTTTACTTAAAAACATTCAATTTATGAACATTCATAAATTAAAAAGCTCTGTTCTGAAGCAAACTCTTTCAGATATGCCAGAAGGAGTTAGTGGTCAGGTGAGGTCATTTTAGTCCTAGTCACATGACTGATGGGTTATTCCTTAATCCATTTAATGATTCTATTGGGTTATTCTTAATCCATTTCATTAATTCCTTAATTTGCAGGGTGGCAAGCTCAAGTGCCTACTATGAGTGAAGCTGGCAGGGCAGGGACTGAGGTGAACTGGAGTGAGGTGTGAGGTGAACTAGGTGCCCATCTTTCCAATGGGGGAGCAGCCTTTGGCCCCAGCTGATTTTACCTTGCCAGAATGTAGCTTCAGTGCTGCCGTGCCTTTCCTCTCTCAAGGCAAACCAGAAACCTCCTTCAATTTTGAAATGTTGATAACTAGTTCAAAGTTTTTAAATGTCATGCAGGCCAAACAAAGAACTTATGCAGGCTGAGTCCAGTCTGCTGAACACCACTTTGTAACCCTTGATCTTTGTATGTTTGATGTGTTTGTTCTTATTTTCAATGTTTTACAAAAATTACAAATGTTATTAACCCTTCACGTTCAGTAAGAATGAATGCAGCTAGAGTATTAAGAGTGTTCATGGGAAGAGACATACAATTAGTACAGAAACAAAAATAGATGTATTAAAAAATTGAAATGATAAATGTATGTACGTATGGGATAAATTGTTCAGTAATAATGACAATTATGAAGAACAAAAATCCAATCATTCAATCATGCATATACCTATGCTATCATAATAATTCGCAAAAAGAATGAAAAGTGATCATCAGAATGAAATGTGCAGCTAGAGGAGGGAGGTCAACGTCAGATGCCTAAATAAAGTTAATTCTGGACAAAGACAAGCATTTGTTTGGGAACTTAAAGGCTGAACATGGTAAAAATGCTGCTGCTGGGACTTTTAACACAGCCACAGTTAAGTCTCACTGTTTAAAAACATGGAGTTTCCTACACTTGCAGCCATCACCAAGGAGGGGAATTACCCATCTCAACATATGTTCAACATAGTGGAAACTGGTTTATAGGAAAAGATAACTGATACATTGTATAGAAGGTAGGAGAAAAGAGCATGTCTGGTTTGTGTTTTTAAAGGCAAACTAATTGTTTTTTTAAAGCAATAATTGTAAATGTTTATTTTTATTTTTGTGTGTGTGTGTGAGGAAGATCAACCGTGAGCTAACATCTTACAATCCTCCTCTTTTTGCTGAGGAAGACTGGCCCTGGGCTAACATCCATGCCCATCTTCCTCCACTTTATATGAGACGCTGCCACAGCGTGGCTTGACAAGCGGTGCGCCGGTGCACGCCTGGGATCCGAACTGGCGATCCCCGGGCCGCCGCAGCGGAGCGCGAGCACTTAACTGCTTGCGCCACCGGGCTGGCCCCAATAGTTGTAAGTGTTTAAAAATTCAAATAGTATAAAAATATATACAGTAGCAAACAAGTCTCCCTTCCACCCTAGACCCCCAGTTCTCCTGCCTAGAGGTGACCCTATTAAGTTTCTTATATTTCCTTTCATACAAATAAGTGCATATCATATGCTATTTCTGCAACTTTTGTCCCACTTAATGTATTTTGGAGATTGTTCTATATTAATAATGGAGATACACCTTATTCATTTTAAAAGCTGTATATAAAGATATGCCATAACTTACATAATCAATACTCGATGGATTTATATCGTAGTCTTTTGCTATCAAAAACAATAAGTCTGTCTGGTTTGAAATCCTCAAGGAATCTATTTGGTGGAACTGCATCCTAGGCCTGCAAACTTAAACATCTCTTAGTCCTTTTTGTCTCGGAAACAAATGAACCTAAGCAGAGCCATTTGGAAATGAACTTGTTCACAAGTAGAAAAGAATCTGTGTCTGGAAAGAGGGTAAACATGGCAGAATGACCGGTGAGGAAACTAAATTCAAACTTAGCAAGATCATAAAGGGCCTTGTGATAACCCAAGAAATTTGACCTTATCCTGAAACATATGCAGAGCCACAACTTGTTTTAAGCATAATAACAATGACATGATTATATTTATGTTTTGGAAAACTTACTGTAACAACAATGAGGAGAATAGATTAGAGGGAAACTAGAAAAGAGGTAGGGAGACGGGAAGGAGAACTATTCAAGTAATCCAGGAAATAATTTATGAAGATTTCAACTAAGTGATGGCAGCGGGAAGGAAGAGGAGGAGATATGATATTAAAGAACTATTAAGGGGATCTTAACCCAAGTCTTCCTCAAATTCCACAGATCTTCATTTCACCATGCTGGCTCCAAATTTCTTATGATTCTTGGATATATAGACTAGCAAAACCAGGAAAGCAGAAGTAGGAAAGAGATGATACTAGTACAATATCAGCTCTCCTTAACACCCCTATTCCCATGCTTTTTACACAGTAGGAAATTAAGGCTCAGAGAAGTTTAAAAAACACCTTACCTTAAAATTCCAATCCTTACCAAAACTTATCTAAAACTTCAGTTCCCTCCTTTAGCATTCACAGGCAAAGAGACATTAATTCTTTGTTTGCATAATGATATGTGTGCTCAGAACTTTCATAATAAAGGCATCAGAAACTAAATAGTATCTTTTCTGCACTGTAATCATTAGAGAGAAAACTATGGGACTTCTTAAGGCCTTGCTTTACCCAATACAATATTCTTTATTTTATGCAAATGTACTGGCTGTGGGAGATATTCTATGGAGTTTTCACAAGCATGTCGTGAATGAATGTTAGAGATAAGTAAACCATCTTCTTATAAAGTAAAACATTATTATTATGGGCCTGCAAAAGCTTAGAAATATTTTCACTATAATCCATCTTGGGATAGTGAAACCTGTTTTACTGGAATTTGACCTGAAAAAATAGAAGTAGGTCATGAAGTTTCAACACAAATCTTATCAAAAGAGTACATTTCTCCTGCTGATATGAACAGTGACTTAAAAAAAATTCATATATATACTATAAAAGCAAGTTAGACAAAAATGTGTTGTAATTGGATAGACTCCAAATGCAGGTTTGAACATGATTATTTCAAGGTCTTTTTACTTATGCGGATTAGTGAGCCTGTGGAAGAAGTCTCTGCCCAGCAGTTCCAACCTCTAAAAGTGGTTTAAGTTGGTCTAATTCTGTTCTCACTATAGGTAAAATCTTTTAATCCTTGTGATAAATCTCCAGGAGCTTGCCTCCTTTAAATTCTAATATAAATTAGAGTAGTAAGCAGAGATAGCAGTGATTTCATCCATTCAGAAAACATTTATTGAATGTGAGACACTGTGAATATCAAGATGAATCAGAAACGGATTCTGCCCACAAATAATTTAGCTTGGAATAAGGCTGTGGCACAGCTAATTAGCGGGTTAAGGCTGACATCTCTATTAAGAACTTGAAGTACAGGTTTTTGTGTTATTGATCCATGTTTTTTTTTTTTTTTTTAAAGATTTTATTTATTTATTTTTTCCCCCCAAAGCCCCAGTAGATAGTTGTATGTCATAGCTGCACATCCTTCTAGTTGCTGTATGTGGGACACGGCCTCAGCATGGCCGGAGAAGCGGTGCGCGGGTGCGCGCCCGGGATCTGAACCCAGGCCGCCAGCAGCGGAGCGCGCGCACTTAACCGCTATGCCACGGGGCCGGCCCTGATCCATGTTGATCTTTGGGGTATGTACCAATAAACAGGCAGCATGTGGCAAAGTTGGCATTCTAGTATGAAACTTGAAAAGCTTTGTTGGTATTTTCTCATTGTTGCCTGGAGCCACTGCTCTTTCTCCTCCCAGTGGAAGGATCTTTCCCTGCAATTCTGGCAACACTTTCAGAATCTGGCCCCTAAGGGATTACAAATCTTCTAGTAATCAGATGGTAACCCAACGCTACTTAGAGTAGCAACTGGTACAACTTTGCCAGGGTGAAATGTAACTTTGAAGAGTGACTTGGCTTCCCTCCCCCTTCCCTCTCCTAAGGAAACAATCAGACCAGATATAAATATGTACGTATATATATATGAAAAGATCAGAAACAATTGAAAGGCTGAACAATTGGAGTGTGGTTAAATAAATTATGGATATCCTTATGATGTAGTACTGTGCAGTTATTAAAATGATATTTTAGGAAAATGAAAATATTCACCATGTGCTGTTGGAAAAGTTGCTTACAAAACTGTAACATGGTAGCAATGATATTTTCCAAATATGTGCATATTCATGTTTGTGTATGCACAGACAAAGACTAGAAGAATAGAAGACTCAAATATTAATATTGGTTATCTCTGGGTGGTAGGTTTGTAGAAGAGTTTTCTCCTTTGTGGTTTTCTTATATTTTCCAAATTTTCCAAAACGTACATGTGTTACTTTCGTTATTTGAAACAAATATATTTTTAAAAAGAAGGACCAAAAAGTGGTCTAGCTCTCTCATTTTATAGTTCCTTTTGACAAAGAAGTTTCACCAAATTCCCCAAGGGCTGGAACGGAAGGCTATTTTAGTGATGCCAACTGTGCCAGCTCAAAACATTACTCACAGAACCTGTATCTGGAGGGAAAAAAAAAACGAGTCACTTCCCATCCTGACTGGGGCACACTCACCAGGAGCTGCAGGGACTCTTCCTACATCTTTTTGTTGTTGTTTAAGAGTTTTTAATTATGGTATCCTTGGGGCCTCACAAGCAATGCCAAAGTCTTTGCCATTTCTTCCAGTATACTAGGTGGCTATGTGCAAATAGGATTATTAATGGCCTTCAACAGCCTCCCAGAGTTTCTGAGAGAGGCTGGCAAAATAGGCCCTGTTTGGAGGCAAAACAGCATATTAGTTAGGAACACAGACTCTGTAGTGAAACAGACCTTAGTTAGAATCCTAACACTGAAATTTACTAATTGTGTGACCTTGGGTACATCATCTCTGTGTCTCAATTTCCTCATCTGTCAATTAGATCATAATAATATCTACTTATAATGTTTCTATGATAATTAAAAATGATAATGCCTGTTAAGTACTTAGTGCAATATCTGGCACATAGTAGATAATCAATAAATGCAAGGTATTATATTACTATGCTAAATACAATAAAGAGATAAAAATAAGTGTTACGGGAGATTTAGAAAAGGCACAATTCCTCCTAGTTGAGAAGACTACAAAAGGCTTTGTAGAAGGAGAAAATTTAGATATTCTAAGATGAGCGTTAAAGGCATTTCAGGTGATGGCAACTTCAGAGCATAGAGGTGAGGGAGCTATAAAATATAGATGTTGAACAGTTTTCCAGGAGCATCACATATATGAAGA